TGTGTGTGTGTGTGTGTGTGTGTGTGTGTGTGTGTGTGTGTGTCGGGGGATGCTATGCGGTGATGGGAAGCCCTGTCTCTTTGACACCTGATCAATAAGTGGCTGAGACAGCGAGAGAGGCCAGGGATTACTGATCTAATTGGACTGAGAATAGAGAGGACACACAAACTCTCACAGTCTGGATGCATGCTCACACACAAGATAGATCTGTCAGACTGTGGCTTTGTGGTCGTGGAATGGCAAATATACAAAACACACTCGCACGTGCACGCGGTCACGCCCTGCGCACACACACCGCGAGCCGCGTCGCGCCGATGCATCACCCGGCGGCCTGGCGGTGGGAGGCCGAAACTGAGGAGGGTGATGATGATGATGATGTGGAGGGGATGACAGGCTGCTGTTTACTGTTTAACAGCTCATCACAGGCGCTGAGTGGTGAGGCAGGAGGAAGATGGATGACCTGCGGATTGAACCAGACGCTGCCTGGGGAGTGTATGTGTGTGATGGCTGCTGGTTCATGACTAATGTTGTGGAGAATTGGTGATTTCTGAGCCTCTTTTTTTTTTTTTTTGCAGGGGAATGTACGTTTCCTGAAGCTGCTGCTGTCCAGGCGCGCCAACTGGCTGCAGAAAGACTTAGAGGAGATGACCCCGCTCCACCTGGCCACCCGGCACCCCTCTCCGAAAGCCCTCGCCCTTCTGCTCAAACACATCGGACCTGGGGAGGTGGACACGCAAGACAAGAACAAGGTACAGACGCACAGAAGACTTCACAACTGTACATTTATGTTAGTCAGAAACCGTGCCATCTGTACCGATGTTGCAATTCAATCTCTACAATAAAGGCCAAAACGCCTGTGTTCAGCTCAGATGGAGTCCAGTATGTTTGGTGTGACCCTGGCCAGGACTACCACAGTGGATGCATAGTCCTGACAGTGAAGCACGGAGGTGGAACCGTAGTTATTGTTCACAGTCTAGCTCTGAACAGAACAGACAAGTAGCTGCTCCAGATTTGACACAGAGATTATCAGTGGAAATCTGTGATAGCTCAGACAATAAAGGACACATTATTACATAAACTTCCACGGATGATGTTCAAGTTAAGATTAAGATTGAGAGAACATTCTTTAGTGAGATGAGACCAACTTAAATTTGTTTGGTTTTAACCTGAGCAGGACTACAACAGTGGATGCATAGTCCTGACAGTGAAGCACGGAGGAGGCAGTATCATGATGAAATGAAATGAAAATACTTTATTCATCCCAGAAGGGAAATTCAATTGAATTCAAAATTCAATGATGTGGGGCTGCATGAGTGTTACCTGCACTGTATGTACAGAACGAGCCATAGTAGCACTAACCAGGGCTGCAGTGGTGTGGAGGTAAAATGACTCCACAGACAGTGAACTACTTTCACAATATAGCTGTGAAAAACAGACTTGGTACAGGGGTTATCAATGGAAATCAGAGTCTGTGACAAATGAGAAGGACCATTCACAGTATCAATTTAAAAATCCTGTTTTTTGGTCTGAATCTGTCGGATTAAGCTTAAATAAGTAATATGAAAATTAACAAATGTTGGGAGAACATTCTTTGGTCAGAAGAGATAAATTTGTTCATCCCAGATGGAGTCCAGCATGTTTGGTGTGAACCTGACCAGGACCACCACAGTGGATGCATCGTCCTGACAGTGAAGCACGGAGGTGGCAGCATCATGATATGAGGCTACATGAGGGCAAAAGTTGTTGATGATATTTATGGATGAATGTCTGAGGATAAACCAGAATACTGTCTGATAAGATGACTCCCAGTCCGCAGAAGCTGGAAGAAGAGGAATATTCCAGCAGGAGAACCATCCAAAGCAAATTCTCAAAATCTCACAAGGATTTCTAAAAAAAATAAAAATAAAAAAAGTTTAAAAAAAAAAAAAAGAAAGAAAAAAAAGTGAAAACTACAATCTGAACAAGTGTGTCTAACATGAATCCAATAAAACACCTTTGGGGTATCACAACTCTCTGGTATTCTCCTTGACAAGGAGGCCAAAAACCCCCATTAAAGAGAAAAAAAACATCCAGTCTGTACGTCACACCAATAACCTGCAAACAGATAAACGACTGACTCAAGTCGGAATTTTAGGTCACACACATAAACAGACAGAGAAGCACTCGCACAATGATTTTACAATCTGCAGCTTTGTCCTGTGTTCTGCTGATAAGACCACAAACACACAGTCTCCTCTGTCTGCTGCAGCTGATGTGTATCTGACATCAGTAGTTAGTTTTGTAATAATCCAATATGCATCATCGCGTCAGATGACAGTGGTTTCAGCAAATCTCAGAATAGCTCAGTGGCCGTCATGGAGGCAGTATCTGGGTTAGAATCTCAGCCCCGCTGCCGGATCTTCAATATGAGCTTTGTGTCGTACGTTGCCTCATATTTCCTGGCTCTGTCATAGTGGAGTAATTTTTTGAACGTAAGTGGAAACCTCAGACCTGCTGTTACAACATCTCTTTATAACTCCATTCATTCATCTTTGTGTTTCCCCCCCTTTCATCTTTTTTTTCTCTCTGTTGTTTTTCTATTTGCAGCAAACTGCTCTCCACTGGTCTGCGTTTTATAACCGACCGGAGCACGTACGCCTTCTGATCAAGCACGATTCCAACATCGGCATCCCAGACAGCGAGGGCAAGATCCCTCTGCACTGGGCAGCTCACAGCCAGGAGCCCAGCGCCACTCAGACTGTTCGCTGTATACTGGTACATCCCAAACACACCTGCTCACCACCAAGTTTCACCATCAGATCTGAGGAAAGCTCCCACCTGAGCCCTTCAGAATCCGCTGATATTTTACATGCAGTAACTTTTGTGTTAAGTTTTACCTTCCTACTATGAATGTTTTCAGAGTTACAGGCCCTTGAGGTACATAGTGGTGGGTTGGAATTGTGCACTTTTCCATTATTTTTGAGCATTTTTAAGTAGAGCAGATGGACACATGACATTTTCGGGGATGAAAAACACAGCTCTGTTGAAAACTCCCACCAAATCAGGTTTATATCCACTCCAGGTGTCACAAGCTAAAGTCAGAATTGTCATTGCATGATTCTATCTGTGTAAAATGTATCAGAGAAGGGTCCTGCTACAGCTCACCTGGTTGAGCTGGCATCCCGTGTACAGGGGCTATAATCCCTGACGTGGAGGTCATGAGTTTGAATCCGACTCATGGCCCTTTTCCGCAGCTCCTTCCCCCATTCTTCTCCCCACTTTCCTGCCTCTCTCTCTCGACTGCGCAATCAAATAAAGGCAAAAATGCCAGAGGTGCATTGTGGGTAAACTTTCAGGAGCTAGTTGGTCAAAACAAGCTTGAAAAGACAAAAAGGTCTCACTTTTAATCTACATTTGCACCAAATTTGAGGTCCTGTTTACCATAACATGTCCAATAACAGCGATGCTTAAAGTTGGTTACAGAAAAAAAATCATGCTGAAGATTTAGTCTTTAGATTGTGACACCTGTAGCGGATGTAAAAGTCATTTGGTTTGCAGTTTTTAACAGAAATTAAAATGTGTTTTGACAAAAATTGTGGGGAATTTTCAACTGAACTGCGGGCAGTGTTTACAATAGAAGAAACAAATTAAAAAGGCAAGTAGGGACATTTTTATAGTGTGTCGAGTTACAGGTTGTTGTTTTTTTCGGTATTGTTAACACCTGTGGGCACTAAGTGACACCTGTAGTGGATGTAAAAGTAATTGTGTTGTAGTTTTTAACAGAACTCAAATGTGTTTTTGAGCTCTGTAAATGTCACGTGTCTTTCTGGTACACTGATGACGTTGTGAGGCTCAGAAATGCTGGAAAAAGTGCAAAACTCTTAAGGGCCTGTGACTGAAATATCAGTAGTGTGAAGATTTAAAAAAAAAAAAAAACTGCATGGCTTCATTAAATATAGCAGAATCAGCTGATTGATTTTCACCGTCTGCGTGTCTTCTCTGCTCACGAAGGAAGCCGCCCCCACCGAGTCCCTGCTGAACTGGCAGGACTACGAGGGCCGGACGCCGCTGCACTTTGCCGTCGCCGATGGCAACGAGGCGGTGGTGGAGGTGCTGACGTCCTACGAGGGCTGCAACGTGACGGCGTACGACAACCTGTTCAGGACGCCGCTGCACTGGGCCGCTCTGCTGGGTGAGCTGATGCCTGTGTGGAAATCACATCTGCTTCCCCGCAAACTAAATTCTCATCAGATCTTATTATGCCGGTTTAAGCTGAGTCAAAGCCAGAAATGGAAAAGTCGTTACTCACAAGATTCTCTTTTATTTTTATCCACGCTGGCAGCATAACTGAGGGGAAGGCTGTGTTTGTCCGCCTGTCTTTCCACTACTTTGAGCCAGACCAAAATATCTCAACAACAACAGATGAGCTGCGAAAATGTGACCCATTGAGAAAGAAGTCTGACTTCTCCTGTTGCGCCACCTGGAAGTCGAGCCGCAACGCTTCTTAATCAATTAACAGTCAGCTATTCAAGTGACGTCAACTAGTTCGGAATAAATAGATTTATAAGGGTTTTCATTCTCTGAGTGTCTCCAGTGTCTATTTGAGTTTGTGGTTTTTAAATTTTGATACCAAGATTTTGATTTGTACTTAAAAACCCACTTCAATCGATCCCTAGCAGTGACTGAAATGTTTCCCAGCACAGCGAAGTAAGAATTATGCAGATTTATTCATTTATTTGCCGTAATATTCCGTGTTTGGTCCAGAACCTGTTGAAGATTTTATTTTTTTTAGATTGCTTGTACCTTGCTTTCTGACTGAAAACAACTTAAACTTGTGTATTTTCAACTTTTCTTGTTCAAAAATGTGAAAAAAACACTGAACAGTTGATCTGCAATGATTAATCAACTAGTTGTCAACTATTAAATTAATCACAGAGTCGTTTTTTAAGGGAAAAAGTCAGAATTTTCTGATTTCAGCTTCTTAAAAGTGAACATTATCTAGTTTCTGAATGTCTTTGGACTGTGGACAAAAACACTAATGGATGTTTTTCATCCTTTTTTCTTTTTTATAGACCACTAGCTAAACAACTAATAGATTTATTATGAAAAACAATCATAACTTTAGCATAAATTTAATAGAAACTAGGATTTAGTGTATTTTTGTCCCTCTGTAGGGCAGTTATTTCCATTAGTAATTAATCTGCACTTTATTTTTGGTTTGTTTTTATTGTTTTGTCTCTAAAATGTCACAGGATAGTTTAAAAAGTCCATCAGTGTCCTAAAGCTGAAGGTGAAACACTCCTGTTCTTAGTTGTCAACTATTAAATTAATTGGCAACTATTTTGGTAATTGATTAATCTGTTAAAGTATTTTTAGTAACATCTTTAAGCCAAAGGTGAGAGATTTAAAAAATAAAATAAAATAAAAATTATTGGCCAATTATTTTGCTTATCGAATAATCTCTTTAGGTAATTTTTCTATTTTAAAAAAATCTCTGATTGCAGCTTCTTGTATGTGATATTTTCTGGTTTCTTTCCTCCTCTGTGACAGTAAACAGAAGATCTTTGGGTTGTGAATAAAACACTGTTTTGTTTTGTTTTTTGTACCGTTTTCTGACATTTTATAGACCAAACAACTAATCGACTGAAGAACAAATTGAGAAAAATAACTAAGAGATGAATCAACAATGGAATTAATTGTAATTGCAGCCCCAGCAGCACCCTGTACTCGCGTGTTCAGTGCCACAACCACACAAAGACGAACACGCTGTTTAGTAACTGTGTAAACATCTGACTCATGTTGACTTAAAGTGGAGCTTTTTGCTTTTCTGTTAACAGCTTTCTAAAGTAAACGGAGGAACTACAAGATGCTTTTGTAGGTCAGCGTGGTTCCTCACATCCTTGTCGTCATCCGTCACGTCCTCCTAAAGTAAACAAGTGTCTTTTCAGGCCACGCCAAAATCGTCCACCTGCTGCTGGAGAGGAACACGTCGGGCACGATTCCCTCCGACAGCCAGGGAGCGACGCCTCTGCACTACGGAGCTCAGAGCAACAATGCCGTGAGTCACGTTAACACCAAGTATGGAGACCTGATAACCTGAGTGTCATGACGCTTCGATCAGGACAGCTTTTGGTGATAATTAAATAACGCTGCTCTATAGCCTGTTACACTTTTTTTTTTTCAGTACTTGGGATCCTCAAAATGTAAAAAAAATGTCATAAAAAGGGTGAAATTAGCTTTTGGAAAAATTGGAAATTTTCACGTTCATTGGGGAATTTGCCACATGTTTGCACCAGATCCTGCAAAAAAAAATTAAATAAATTCTGCGCTCCCCGATGCAACAGAGAAGCCAGGACTCACCTGTGTCCAAAGAGGCGTCGGGGACTTGTAGGCTGAACTGCAGGGAGTGTTTATACAGAGCAGAGAGGAGACAGGAAGAGAGAAAGGGAGGAAAATAAAACATACTGGATCAATTAAGTAAATGCATCATGACTCAAAAACAGCAAACAGAGGAGCAAGTTGTTGGAAGATACACTCAGCATGGTGAAACATCTTTCTACAGCTAATGTGCAGAGTAGAGTGAAAAACACTGAATTTGCAGAGGTTGAAAAATGCAAATAGTTAAACATGTATGGCCAGTGGAGCCTCCAGTTTTTTCAGCATTCACCTGTGAGCGCTCTGACAAATTTTGCACACAATTTTTTTTTTCCCAAATTTACTCATCTGCTGACATGACGTTCTATCAGAATTATACATTTAATAATTCAACAAAAATAAGCCGTTTGCACGAAGCAGTTTCTGCAAAAAAAAAAGTGAATAATTGTCCTCAGTGCAGCTGTGAAGCAATGAGTGACTCAGGAGTAACCAACAGTCACGTAATAAAAATTGTGGAACATTTTTGGCTGAGCTGCAGGCAGTGTTTGCACAGAGCTAATAGAAGACACATAGAAAAAAGTGTCGAAACACATTAAATAGGCAAGTATGGAAATAATATGTAGAGTTACAAGGGTTTTCTTCAATATTGGTAACACTGTGGGCACTAAGAAAAATGTTGTCTGTGGTGGTTCCAGGTTTTTTACATTTTGTAAAATAAATAATCAAAGAAATTCAGTTTATAAAAAATAATAAATGGCATCATAATTGTGTCATACTGCACAGAAAAGATATTTTGAGTTCTTACTCCTTCGAGTCATGGTTGTGTTTCCATAGAAGTGCAGGACTTTATGTTGCAGTAAAAAATGAGTGAGTAAAAATGTGACAAAAAAATAATTCAAAAAAACTCAAAAACAACTGCCTTTGTTTGTTTGTGAAGGAGACAGTCGGTGTGTTTCTGTCCCACCCATCGGTGAAAGACGAACCCGACCTGGAGGGAAGAACCGCCTTCATGTGGGCCGCCGGCAAGGGCAGCGATGACGTCATCCACACCACGCTGGCCCTCACGCCACACATCGACATCAACATGGCCGACAAGTACGGCGGCACTGGTGAGCGTCTGACAAACTCCTCCCCTTTTTCTACCTGTGTAGCCCTCCGGGGCAAGGTCACCCACTGTATACGAACACCTGCATCCCCTCCGGAGCTTGATTGGCTGCTTGACGATGATGTCACAGGGGATTCCCCCCCGAGGTGAAAGCAGGAAGTGATACTGTCAGCAGAATTAGCGCGAGCATGTAGAACCCACCACACATGACTTCCTCGCCACGCTCTGACCCCCCCAGGGCCGGTCGGACGTATAATCTCCATGGCGATGTACCCCCACCCCCGCCTCATTGGCTATGCATGAACGACGGAGTCATGCTAATGAGACGGTGTGAAGGGCAGTGGAAGTGACTGGTGCCCAGATCACTTCCAATGCACTTGACTCCAGTCGGCGCTGTCTGGGGACTGCAGTGAGAGTGGGGGGATTAAGTGCGTTGCTCCTCATTAAATTTCACTGTCTGTTTAACCCCTCCGTTGACCAGGATTTAAACACGGCCCAGATGCAGGCGAGGGAGGAGCAGCCGTCCTCAGGGTGTTCAATGTCCACTTAGATTTAAGGCCTTGTGTCATTATCTGATGTGTGTGTTTAAACCAGCGCTCCATGCGGCCTCCCTGTCCGGCCATGTGAGCACCGTGAAGCTGCTGCTGGAGAACGGCGCCATGGTCGACTCCCTGGACGTCATGAAGCACACGCCGCTGTTCCGAGCCTGCGAGATGGGATACAGGGACGTCATACTCACGCTCATCAAGGGTAAATGCGGTTAAAACGACGCCATTCATCACAGCTGGAAACTGTATAAAATGTTTCCGACAGTCCTCCAACTACTCATCTGTGATGTGCAGTTCCTTTTATCCACTGAACCAAATCAAACATGTCATGTGTGACGTACGGTTCTGTCAGTAAAAATCACCAGAACATAGCAGATAATCATCATGAAAATCCCTTTATTTGACGTGTCTTGTTTAAAAATTTGCCATAAATAAACCGTTTGCTCAAACAATGATCTGTAAAATAAATTTAAAAATCTGCACTTTTTAGCACAACCGTGATGCCATTAGTCAGTCAGCTGCAGCCAACAGTCGCATGACAAAAATTCAGGGAATTTTCGACTGAACTACAGGCTGTGTTTACAATTCTACTATTTCATTTTGCAGATGCTTTTATCCAAAGCGACGTACATCTGAGAGCAGATACAACACAAGCAAGGATCTAGTCAGCAGAAAACAATCTGGATAAATGCTGTAGAGCAAATTTTTTTTTACCTTTTTCTTTTTGGTCTGTCAAGTGCAAAGGTATTCAGTGAAGAGCTCTTTAGTCTTTTCTTAAAGACTGAGAAGGAATCAGCATATAGAACAGAGTTTGGTAACTTGTTCCACCACCGGTTTATGCAACAGAGAAGTGACAAGTATGACAGAAATGGAAAAAATAATTAAAATCTCTACAGGGTGTAAAATCGAAATATTTTTCCAGTGTCAGTAACAGCTGTGGGCACTTGGTTTTTCATTTTTTGTCAAATAAATAATCAAGAAAATTCTACTTTTTTATGATTTGTAGCATCTTAACTGTGTTTTATTGCACAGAAGACATTTTTCATTTCTCTCTCCTCGCTGGTTATGGTTGTGTTGTTTGTGTGGTTGCAGAGAAAATCAATCTAGAGTGGATGAAAATGTAACAGAAGCAAAGAAACGCAACTGTTAATTACAGATTGTAGACTCATTAATTGTTGTAAAAAGCCCTTTTTTTTGTCTGTTTCAATGTGGTTTTGTTCTGTGTGTTCATATTACTTGAATAAAGGTTCTGCCCGTGTGGACCTGGTGGACGTGGATGGACACACTGCTCTGCACTGGGCAGCTCTGGGAGGAAATGCTGAAGTCTGCCAGATCCTGATGGAGAGCGGCATCAGTCCCAATGTACAGGTACTGCACAGTGGCAGAACGCTGAAGGAGCAGCTCAGAGTTCAGTTTTATAGTCTCCACTCATGTAAGAATTCATGTTCTGGATCAAACTGTCTTATCTTATTTTACTTGACATGTGGCTCCAGCTGTTGAAGCCAAAAACCACTGATGTTTAGCCAGAGCCAACACGATGCTGCTGTAGTGTCACAGTGATTTTAAGTGGTAACGTTAAACTTTGGACATTTCTTTTTCATCGAAACGGCTTCTCTGAGCTCGTTTTTCACCTGCATTCATCACAAAATATCGGATTTCTTATGTGTAATGTAGGAAACACTATAAAGTTAAGCCCTAAATAACTCACAGCCATCCCTAATATTGATTTAGAGTGAATTTGTATTTGACCAAGAGGTTTCTTGTGGCTGGAAAATGACATAAACTAGTGACAAAAGACAATGAGAAACTGTGTTCGAGATGTTAGTGATGAATTTTAGCTATTTATTTGTTTTTGGATAAATGTTTGGTAAAAATGTCCAGAATTATTTACAGCTCTTAAATGTGTCACAAATTTGTGAGAAAATGCAGCTTTTTATTTCATTCCACATTTTGTAGTCTTCATTCATGTTTGTGTCATTGAAGGATCCTATTGGTTGAATACAAATGTACATTAAATTGAATCATTTTGAGATATTTAAGTGTAAATTCAGGATTGTGCTGCTGTTTTTTTTTCTAAATATTCCTGCATGTTACTGCCAGGATCAGGCAGGTCGGACTCCGCTGCAGTGTGCAGCTTACGGCGGCTACATCACCTGCATGGCTGTTCTCATGGAGAACAACGCAGATCCAAACATACAGGACAAGGAGGTAAGAATTGAACGCCCTCAGACTTCTCCACGTGTTGTCTAACTGAATCTGAATGTGGGATCTTTCTTCATTTGTGCACAGGGCCGCACTGCTCTCCACTGGTCGTGTAACAACGGCTACCTGGATGCCGTGAAGCTGCTGCTGGGCTACAACGCCTTCCCCAACCAGATGGAGCACACCGAGGAGAGGTGAGGACGGAGGGGAGGCTCTGAATTAAAATGTGGGAAAGCAGATGAGATAACGGTGCTTGTACGCTGCAGGTACACTCCTCTGGACTACGCTCTGCTGGGCGGCCACAGCGAGGTGACTCAGTTCATGCTGGAGCACGGCGCTCTGTCCATCGCAGCCATCCAGGACATCGCCGCCGCCTCCATCCAGGCCGTCTACAAGGGCTACACCGTCCGCAAGGCCTTCAGGGAGAGGAAGCAGCTCCTGATGCGACACGAGCAGCTGCGCAAGGATGCAGCCAAGTGAGAAACAAGCACACATATGTTTACAGTACTGAGTTTTAGGCTTATTTATTCATTCA